CGGTGCGCGAATCAGCTGTTTCGCGCGCCACGGCCGCTCGGGATCTCCCCCTCTCTCCCGGGTTTGAGAGCCTGGGAGGGAGGGCGAGCAGCGGCGCGCGAGTGGCAGCAGCGGAGGTGAGTTAGGGTGGCCGGGGCACATTTTTAGGGGCGGCATGGCCCGTGCCGGAATGCCACCCCTAAAAATGTGCCGCCCCAAGCACCAGCTTGTTTTGCTGGTGCCTAGAGCCGGCCCTGTGGAAGAGACTGTGACTGATGGATATCACAGCTGTATGCAGGTCTGTGTGGCACTTATGGGGGAGCAGCAGTGGCAGGGCAGGGAGCCACTGCAGTGGGGCCCCAGTGAGAGACACTAACTGAACCTGGCTTGGAAACCCACTAGTTCTTATCTATTTAAACAGAGACTGGATTGGAGAAACATCTGAGGCACTAGGCCTGAAGAACCCTGACTCTCAACTGGACTGTCCAGGGACCCAAACAAGAACCACTATTGCTCACTTTGAACTGTACCTGTTTAAACCTCCACGTGTCTGAGTGGTGATTGGGACCCCCACTAGGACTAATGCCTATAAAGCTGTAGCTGCTGACGTACCCACAGTGTTGCCTCCGAGACATAGTACACTCGGCAGGCTACTGGCATCCCAATAATTATAAAACCTTTCTACAGCCATGGCTTAAAGAGTCTATAAAGGCTCAGTACAGACAAGGTTGTGTTTGGTAAAAGAAGAACTTGCCCCGCTCAACACATTCATCTTCCCTATTAATGATATCCTCCTATAAAGACAATGCAACCTATAAGTTCCAAGGTACCTGTCATTTAGGTCAAATTTGCTGACAGTTATGTTATTTTCCAGTGGTGTAGGGCTGTGTAATAGCAGCTTTCACCTCTTAGGAGATTTCTCCCCATCTCCTAAAAATTAACTATTAAATAAACAAACAAACTCTCTTCCATTTCATAACATCTTTGTTTGTGCAGCTGCATCATCAATGCTGCTGGCAGAAATGTGCTGCACTCCATGGACGGCACTTATTAGTTAGCTATTTCACGCAGGCCATGAAGGGAGTGCTCATATTGGGCCTTTCCTGTGTCACACCAAAACACTGTGGTTTAAATATTTTCATTGAAACGTGGAATTACCAGTATTTTTGATGTAGAGGTGTGATGAAGAAGTGGAAGATAGAAACTATGAACTGTTCAAACAAGCTTTACTGCTCACATTTGAATTGACCCCTAAGGCACACAGTCAAAGGTTTTGGGGTATACAAAAGACCCCAGGTGTCACTTACATGGAAGTCATCACCCTGATGGGAGAATAGCTCAGCAAATGGGGTAAAGGTGCAGGGGTCACTACCCTGCAGGATTTGTATAATCTGGTTGGGTTGGAGCAGCTTCTATAAGATCTGTCCTCAGGATCTTAAAATGTGGCTAGTGGACAGGAAGCCTAAAGACCTGCGGACTGGAGGCAGGCTGGCAGATGAGTTTCTCGATAGCAGGTCGGGGTATGAGAAGAGACCCAAAGGGAACTAGCTTAAGCATGGGTCTAGGGAAAGGGAACCCATGGAGGCATCCCAGGAGTGGGACTCAGGTGAACCCAGAGTTGACAAGGTAGCCAAGGGGGGCAGACCTCCAAGGGACAACAGAGACCTGAGATTTAATTACTGTAAGCAGAAAGGGCATAAGGTTGTGCAATGCCTAAAGATCAGGGAATTGGTGGCCCAACCAAACCCTTGAAGGGATAACTAGGGAAATGCTCAGGACAGAGGGGCTAACTCAACCTTTGTCTGCCCAGGAAGGCAGCCTGTAACCAGTCTCAGAGAGTTAATGAGGTGAGTGACCTTTCATAGGAAAGCAGTCACACAGCCAGCTCCTCAGGAGTACAGGGAGTGTTGGCAGACAGGGTCCCACTCCAGTGCCCCATGTACATGTCATCTTGTACTCTCTGGGGCTCAGGCACATCTGATCCCCAATGGGAGAGGAAGGTGGTTGTCAATGGAAAGACATTAGTGAGATAGAGAGATTGTGGGCCAGAGAGAACTCATCAGACCCTGTGTAGAGCAACCCCATCAAATGCTGAAGGGATGTGTATCTTGGGTAAAGGTCCCAAATACGAAGCCATTCATGCTGCCTCTGACTCAGATCCCCATGCAAATACAGGAGGAATCAGGGTGGCTGGTAGCTGCGGTCCTCCAAAATAACAGTTTTGATGTGCTTTTGGGAAATGACAGTATCTCTTTGCCTCTGTAATGACAGAGGATTTGAATCCGGGGAGTGCACAGCCTGAGGATTCAAATAGCCAGGCAGGCTGGCAGGGCGGGGCGGGGCATGTGTGTGTGTGAGAAAGGATGATTCCCCCCCACACACACACTCCCCAGCTTGTAACTTAAAGGAAGAGCTGCTAAGCTCAAGACACCTGACTCACTGGACCCTGAGACACCTGAGCCCAGAGATTTGGCTGGGTTAAGATCATATGCTGAAGGGATCACCACCGATTCTAACCTAGGACTGAGGATACCCTAGGCTGTGGCCAAGACAAACAACACATGGAGGAATGTGGGCTCATTGCCCTACCCACGCCTAGGTAGATAAGAGAGATGAGACAGTGGCAGGACCCTATCCCAGTTTGAAACCCAAAGGTTTTGGTGTGGCAATAAGGCATGGGGCTGCATAAAAGCTGTGTGTGCACCCTGCGAGTGTCATCGAGAAGAGCAGATCTATTCGGGGTTGTGAAGCTGCTCTGAACTGTGTATTGTAAACTAATTCTGATGGATTAGCAGGGGTACTAAGAAAATCTTGAAAGTGCCTGATATAACAACTGCCAAGGAAATGGGAAAGATGCAGTGGCATTTATGGATAGCATTGGTAGGTTTGAACTTCTTCATTGAAGTGACCCCACTCAGTTTGTCTCAAAGGGAGGAGAGCTGTGATGAAGTAGGATTTTTTTCCCCAAAATATTTTGTATAAATGTTGCGTGCCTCAGTTTCCCCTATGTGCTGCATGATTAATGGGGGAGGGGAGGGAGAGAAGGTGTTTTCTTTGCAGAAGAATCCAGAGATCAGGTGGTCCTGACAATGGCCCAACAATTTGTTACCTAGCAACTGACAACCCTGGCCTTGTGTGGGAAGCCAGCCGGTTTGACCAGCTGGAGAATAAAGTGAGTCAGGGGAAGACCAAGGGACCCTGTTTGCCCCACAATAGGAACAAAAGACTGAGGAGGTGCCCTCCTGAGAGTGGCGACATGTGGGCCATGGTCTGCTGGACACACACTTCAGGACTGGGGGAAAAGAAGGGACTCGGAGAGGTCTGAGCCCAACTGGGCTCTGGGAACACCCAGATGGACTATGCTGTAACTTTCCTATTCTCTATGCTAACCAAATACTTTCTACACTGTGTTCCAGACATCTAATAAACACTCCTGTTTTTACAACGCTGCCTGAGAGTCACTTCAGTCTAAAATGGTCAGGGGTGCATTGCTCCCTTTGAGCATGCAAGCCTTCCCCAGGTGTCCAATTCAAGTGAACTCACTGAGGGGAGCTCACAGAGAAAGCAGGGGTGCTGAAGGCTCCAGTGTTCAATCTCAGAAGCCAAGCGGCTTCTCTCAGTGAGAGAGTGTGACCCTAAACGGTTAACATTCCAAAGGGGTCCTGACAAGAGGATATTGCGTCTTTTAAATAACAATTAGGAGGCAAGCCAAATTTTGAGCTGAATCATGTTGTGGATGACCCTTGAAGAGTGTTGCAGCCATCTTGTTGTTCTATAATTTATAAACCACAAATGAAAGCGTTTGTTATTCCAGCACTAGCATCTAAACAATCACTGTTACCTGTAGGTGATGGCTGTCACAAGTTACTGCTGTTAATTGCTAAGGCAAGCTGCTGCATAATAGGGATCTTATAGGAGGTATATAATGAATCACATAACAGTTACAACATGGCATTCAGAAAGACAAACTGGGTTGTGGAAGGGGGAATCATCCCCTCACCTCAAAGTTTAAATGAGACATTATTTTAAGAGAGTCTTATAAATATATGTAGTCCCTACATTACTGAGCCTATGGGCTGAATTAATCAAAGGAATACTGGATATGCTTATTTAGTTGTGAATTTTGGCACTGTTATTCATTCTGGCTCAATCCCGGCCCCACTGCACAGCCCAACTACTGAGACTATGCTCCAGGGCAGTGGCTCTTATCCTTTTCAAACTACTGTACCCCTTCCAGGAGTCTGATTTGTCTTGCGTACCCCTAAGTTTCATCTCACTTAAAAAATACTTGCTTACAAAATCAGACATAAAAATACAAAAGTGTCACAGCACACTTTTAATGAAAAATTCGACTTATATTTCAGTGTATAGTATAAAGAAGTCATTGTCTGTATGAAATTTTAGTTTTTGCTGACTTTACTAGTGCTTTTTATGTAGCCTGTTGTAAAACTAGGAAAATATCTGGATGAGTTGATGTACTCCCTGGAAGACCTCTGGTTGAGGTTCCCCTGGTTGAGAACCAGAGCTTTAGGGAATTTTGCCAAAGGGAAAGAAGGAAGAAATCTTCTACTCTTCCTCAGACCACAGAGTGGACTGGAGGCACTGAAGACTAGATCCACAAAAGGTCTAAGACACCTAACTACAACTTAGGCACTTAAGTCCAACATTTAGGCACCACAGATCCTCCTTGACTGCCCCCCTAAATCTGTAGCACCTAGATTTCCATGATTATAGTCCCCTAGTCACTTAAGTTTCTGCATGTGAGCATGAATATAGCTGCCTCAGTCTAGGTACCTGGGAGCTGAGGTTGTGATTCTACTGGGTATTAAAGCACCTAAAAGTTAGGTGGCTGCAATGCTGAGCACTGTAATACCTTATGTCCCTTTGCAGATCTAGTCCTGTGTGCCTACTATCCCCAATACTTGTTATCTCCATATGATCTCAGATCCACTGATCCTTTCCTTATGCCATCTCCTAGTTGTGCACTGATGAACAGGGAGCCCTACAGAGCTGGGTTCTGTGGCATACCAGTAGGGTGTGCATCCTCTGCATGAGCTCTTCAAATCCTACTTCTGTCATGCCCCAGATACTTGCAGCCCTGCCCCTGTTACTGGAAAAGAGAACTCTGTGTCTGTGGAGGAAGGCGCATGATTTACCCCCAAAATTTGAAAGCCAATTTTTAAGGAGTTAATTCCCAAATTTCTCTATTACAGAAAGCTGTCATCTATCTGTGTTTTGTCATCTATCTCCCCACGACCACCATCACCTGATCATTCAGTTTATCTTTAATCCTGAATGAGTACATCCTTGTATTCCAGTCTTAAGTCTTGCAAGGAGTCTTTGGCGTTGAGCACAGATTAATCAGTTATGCCAATGCATAATGCTTTTGTGTTGTGTACAAATATAAATGCCAGGACAAGATCATCAAGTCTGTTGAGACTGCCTTGAATTTGAACTCTGACCACTAGAAACAAAAGGCTAGACATTTATTGTGCCGTCAGTTATCATACACCCTCAAAGCATCACTTTCAATAACAGTATTTCTGGTACTTACATGCAGGGAAAATTATAATCAGTACCTGCCAGTAGGTTGGGTATTTGTGGGATATCGACAAGCAGTCCAGTAGGTCAAGTACAGTAATAAATAAAAAGATCAGTTTTTACTGCATACACTCCTTACATGGCATTCTGAATTAATACTTATGCTTTAGCCCTTTTTTTCCAGGTAATCTTCGCAACAGATGTATGAATACCTAATGCTGAAGCCATTTCAGTATATCAGAAATGGATAATTGATAATTAATTCCAAGCTTATTTTTCATGGGAAAGTGCTATACACTACTCATTGTCTTTGTGCTAGTCTCTCGAGGAATTTTAAACAAAGCCACAATAATTGCTTAGTTATTTCAGGTTTGCCTTGTAGTTTTCCACTATATTAAAAAGGTATTCATTGCTGACAGTGATGGGGAAAAAATGTACATGTTTGCCTGATGGAACTTTTACTTATTTTCAGTCAACATAATTCCCCTTTATGAACACATCTGTTATCTAAAAAATAGCCTACATTTTATTTATTCCACTAATAATTTGACAGATTCATAATTGCCTAATGTTTGTACCATTACAATAGCAACAAACAAACAAGATAGATTACGTGGGAAAGAACATGATATGGTGATTTTTTTTTCAAAATATTTAATCCAAGTCACACACAAAGCAATGTCAACTGTATTGTGTTCCACAAAAGAATAAAAACCACACCTGAATTTTAAGCAACATGTTTAAGAGTAAAACCACTACTGATGGAGTGGATTCATAAATTGGTCTTAGGTGTTATAACACCTAACTCCTAGCCACACTGCTCATTATATGGGGAGAGTTAAGTGCCTAGGAAAGGAATTCACAGAAGCCAGCAAACTGAGCAAGGGCCACCTAAGCCAGCCAGTAGTGAAATGCAGAGGAAAAAGTTGGGGCTTAGAGCTCAGATCCACAAAGGGACTTAGGCGCCTGACTCACAGGCCAAAAGGAGGCACCTGTCTCCACTTGGGATTCACAGCCCTGAACCCTCTCAGAGTTAGGAGAAGGTCAGCCCTTTTTGTGTGAAAAAGCAGAGCTATCCCACCCCAATATTCCAATGGTCAGGGCACTTAACTGGGATGTAGGAGACCCAGGTTGGAATTGCTCTCTGCTTCTTTGGTGCTAGGAGTTGAACCCAGGTCACCCACTGACTACCAGGCTATTAGCTGTTTTGTAGCCTGTTGAAAAAGCTCCACTTTGTAGAAATAATTAAATATTGATTGGATCACAGAGTGCCTCAGAGTGACTCTATAACCCAGTGGTTAGGTCACTTCCCTGCAATGTGGGAGCATTATGTTCTAGTCCCTGCTCCAATTAATATTTAGTTATACAAAGGGGAACAGCTTCAACAGGAGAGATGAAGGGACACTCACCCCAGAATATCCAGTAGCCTGGTGGTCAAGGCACTCTCCAGGGAGGTGAGAGACCAAAGTCTGTAAAACCATAGAAAAACTGCCCTTTCTGTTGTACTCTGTGGCAATGTGAGGTGGAACTCAAACAGGGATGTGTGTGCCATCTATCACCCCACCACAGTTTGGGAACCCCACTGCTACAGATCCATCCACTATGTCCTGCACGTTACTGAGTCACAGTCCTGCAAACCAAGAGATGCTTAATGACCCAGCACACTTGCATAAAAATGTGGATTTTCCAACTCCAAAATTGCAGGCCAGCTGACAGCAATTCCAGGCTCCAGGGAAGAACAGTCAAAAGGCCCCCATGCCCACACAAGCCGTGCGGATGTGGTCCGCCTGACATTTGGGTGGTGCCCAGTGAGCTGCCGTCTGTGCTGCTGGGCGTGCTCTTCCATCATGGCCAGGGCTTCTGCATGCGTGCCAGTTAGGGTTGCCAACTGTCTAATTGTGCAAACCCAAAGACCCTTGCCCTGCCCCTTCCCTGAGGCCATGCCCCTGTCCCACCCCTTCTGAGGCCCCACCCCATGATGACTCCATCCCTTCTCCCTCTGGTGCTCGCTCTCCCCAACCCTCACTCACTTTCACCAGCCTGTGGCAGGGAGTTTGGGTGTGGGAGGGGGTGCGGGCTCCGGGAAGTGATTTGGATGCAGGAGGGGGTGCGGCGCGTGGGCTCTAGGAGGTAATTTGGATGCAGGAGGGGGTGTGGATGTAGGGATATTAAAGAAGGTACTAACAGTAATTTCCCCAAGAGACAGTGACCCCCTTATAATTTGGCCCCCACACTTTAAAATCCAACAGTTTCACCAAGTACAAAAATCTCTTGGGTCTTCTGTTAAAACTTGTAAGCTACTGTCTGTAGAAACCATTGATTATATCTATCCTGTAACTACTATGTAAAACTTACAAACAAGTTAACTGACTTTGTTATACAATGTAAACAAACACTATAAGCTGTTAAGTGTCTTTCACTTCATTCAACTGCTCCTAGGACAGACCCCCACCCTCTGTGATTAAAGGGCCGGGAGTTTCAAATGAATTAGCACACACTCTGAAAGTGGTGGAAACAGTAAATTAAAATATGGTTAAGGGATGGAATGTATGCTGATAAATGCTTAATATACATGAATGGTTAGGGAGGTGCCAGCCTAGAAAAGAAGTATCCATCGGCCGAAGAATGTATCAAGTAAATAACCAGAAACCCCCGAAGGGTAAACTGGGACCCACCCCATCACCTGGAAGGATGAAAAACACAAACTTTAAACAGTGTGGAGCCACCAGGCATTGGCCACTTTGGACAGAAATGTGTACCATCTGCTGATTGAGTCAGCAACAGCAGGATGAAACAGCTCCCATAGACTAACATAGGAATTAATTCCTATAAGAATGGACTCTAAAAACTGATGACTTTGAGTCTCTGGTTCTGCTGCCAACCTCCAGGAGCATCAGGTGC